GTGTAGTAAAATAGATTTATGCTGGTGACACAGGATTCTGTGGGGCTAAGGGAACTTGATTTTGGGGGTCATGACACTGCTTGACTGCAGACTGGCAGCACTTGCCAGCAGGAATTTCTTCTACTTTCAAGATCTAGATGAAGTAGGCCCCCATACTTCAGCCTACAGGTAGGCTCTTTTCCAGTTCTGACTTCATGGAGATGGACGAGAGAACTGAATTTCCAACAAGTCTGACTAGGATGAATGCTCCCCAGGCTTGTGCCTGACAACCCTGGGGTCAGCCCCAAAGGGTCTGGCCTCTTGGGAGTGTAGAACCCACCATTTGACTTTCTGAGGCACTTTTATTAGCTCCAGAAAGGCGACAAGACCCATTTACTGTCTGCACGCAAGATAAGATCATTGTCAAGGAAAAACAAGGATCTTTTGGGGTTTGGATGCAATTACCCCTCCAGTCTTACTCCCTCTTTTGCTGTGCCTCAACTAGCCCTATGTCTCAATATTCCCTCTAGCTCTACCTTCCTCCAAATGTCCCAGTTAAGTACATCTAATAAATATTAAGTACCTACTACACGCAAGGCTCAAGGCTGCTAGGTGGCACAGTGGATAGAGCACTAGAATCAGAAAGCCCTGAGTTCAAATCTGGCCTCAGACACTTACTAGTTGTGTGACCTTAGGTAAATCACTTAACTTTGCCAAGAAAACCCCAAATGGGGTCAGGAAGAGTTGGACACAACGGAAACAACTCAACAACAACACGTGCAAAGCTCGGTACCAGGTACCGAGGGAGGGACAGAGGTACAGAAGTCCCTTTGTCTGGCTCAAACTGCTTAATATCTAACAGGAAGGATGAGGCACGTAACAGCGATGCCATGATGAAGTAAGGGAGAAAACAAGGGAGAAGTCTGAAGTGCGATGAGAAATGCAAAGAGGGAGAAATCACTGTGAGATACAGGGAGGGAAGGAAGGCTTCACGGAGGAAATGGTACCTCCCCTCCCCCAATCCACTTTTTAAAACTGCTTGTTTGGCCCTCTCCCCTAGGGGGCTGCCACCCCCACATTAAGCGAGGGTCTCGCTTGAGCTGTGTCTCCCTCAAGGGGCAGAGGAGCCTACTTGGTATGCTGTGTTATCCAGAATAAATGCCTTTACTTGAAAAAGAAATAAATAGATAAATAAATAAAATAAAAAACTGCTTGTTGCCTTCTTTGCCTCTTCTGACCCTAAACAACGCAGCCACCACTCTTGAGCAGTACCTGCCACACATTCAGTCCTTCATCCCCCAGGCTCCCTGCCCTATCTTCTGAATATCTTTTAAAGGCCTAAAGTGGAATTATTAAGACTAGTCAAGAAACCAACGGTCCTGATGGATTAAACTTTTAATAAACAATTAGTACTAATATTAAACAAATTATTCTCAAAAAATGGGAAAGAACGCACCCTCGTAAACTCCTTTTATTAGACAAATGTAGTCCTAATATCTAAACCAGGGAAGGCAAAATAGAAACTAATATCATTATTGAATGGATACAAAAATTTTAAATAAAATCCTGTAGAGCTACAGCAATTAATCCAAGAAATTATTCATTATGAGCAAGTAGAATTTATACCAAGGAGGCAAAGGAGGTTCGACATTAGGAAAACAATCAACAGAATTAATCACATTAAAAACAAAAACATCTAAAACCACAGGATTTTCTCAATAGATGGAGAAAAAGACTTTGACAAAGTACAACACTCATATATGCTAAAAGCCCTACAAAGTACAAGCATAAATGGACCCTTTTTAATATAAAAAAAAGTATCTAAAATAAAAAGCAAGATCATATGCAAGGAGAATATACTGGAACCTTTCCTAATAAATACAGGAGTGAAGTAAGGATACTCATTCTCCCTGGTATTATTTGATATAGTTTTAAAAGGTTGGCTATATCAATAAGATAAGAGGAAGAAATGTAAGGTATCTACATTCAGGTCAACAGGAGAAAGAATTGTCACTAGTTGCTGATAATGTGATGAATTACTTAGAAAATCCCAGTGAATTAACAAAACTATTGAGACAATAGTTTTAGTAAAATTTCAAGCTACAAAACAAACCTGCAAAAAACAACACCTTTTCTATATAATAATAACAAAAATCCAAAGAACAATAAAACAGAAATTCGATTTAACAATTTAAATTTGTCACTGTCCAGTCATCTTCAGTCATGTCCAACTTTTCATGACCTCATTTGGGGTTTTCTTGGCAGAGATACTGGAATGGCTTACCATTTCCTTCTCTAGCTTATTTTACAGATGAGAAAATTGAGGTAAACAGAGTTAAATGACTTGCCCAGGGTCATATAGCTAGTATCTGAGGCCAAATTTGAACTCAAGTCCTCCTGAATCCAGGGATGGCACTCTACCACCGTGCCACCCACCTAACCTAACAACTTAAATAGCTGCAAGAATATTGAGTGTCTAGGCTATGCCATTATAATACAGATGACAACATCACAAAAGATAAAAGTATAGTTTTAATGTTATAACAAACTATGAAAAGGAAACTTAACAGAACTCCACAAAAATAACAAAATTCATTTGTAAAGCAAAATATCTTCCTTGATTATTTCCCTTAATTATGAAAGAAGGTACAAATAAGGGAGGAATAGCACTCTAATGCTATATCAGACCTTTCTGCCAGCTCCTGCTCTCTTTCCTAATCTTAACTATTTTTTCTTTCTGTACATGTGGTCCAAAGTTTAATGTGAGGATATACAGCTTCTGCCTCTATTAATCCATACCCAAATGCTTTCCACCACGTTTCTCCCCCCTCCCAGTTCCAGCATCCCTAATGAGTAAATCTTCTCTCTATCCTCTTGTTTCTGAATAAGATATATAATTTCAGATCCATACTTCAGACCTGAATATAATCGCAGCAAATCTCAGTGATACTATGAAGTTATTTGTTTCACAACACAAGAATGTACAATTTACCTTGCTTAATATCCATACATTTTTATATTTGCAAAAAATATTAGAGACCAGAGATTTTTTACCATTGTCTACTTTGACTGTGTTCCCTGTGAGCTTTTGGTGGCCCAAAACTGACTTGTCTTCCTAAGCTGTACTTAAACAACTGGATAGAATGTAAGTCACCTGAGGTTAGGTACTGTTTCATTTTTAATTCTCATCCCCAAGATCTAACAAAATGCCTGATACCCAGGAATAAATACTTGTTGACTGGCTGATAGATACATGGAGGCAGTTTTTCTCCTCCAACCCACTTTATCAGTTGAAAGACCTTTGGATTAGATCTAGAAAACTGTAGGCAAATACATTCTTAGCAATCCTGATCAGGTACATGCCAAACTCTGGTCTACAGCCTAACATTCCTGTTTTTTAAGCAACATCTTCTCTTTTCTTGAAACACTTGCCTTCTACAGATAGGAGTGATGCCTCTAATATCTCTGGTTTCACCCTCAAAACTTTGGCATCCTTGGCAATGCATTCTAGATTCCTTCTGGCAGTATATGTGTCCACAGGAATAAATGAAAATGGACAGGATTGAACTCTCTGAAAAACAGCTAATATTGTATTTGTAAAGTAACCAGATAGAAACAGGGAACATGAAAGCACAATGTTCTGGCAATACAAATGCAAGTTGTATTTCTTTCTGAATAAAATGAACAAAACATTACATAATTACAAAGAACATTCTAAATGGTCTATCAGTGTAAGTTATTATTAAAATATATAAATATAATAATAATAAATTATATCACAGAATATAAAATGCTCCCTTTCCAAGTTTTTTCTTTTTCTTTCTTTTTAAAAAATTTTTAAAATTAATTTATTTTTAGTTTTTAACATTCACTTCCATAAGCTTTTGAGTTTTAAATTTTCTCCCCCTCCCCACCAAGACAGTGTATAATCTGATATAGGCTCTACATAGACATTCCTATTAAACATATTTTCACATTAGTCATGTTGTAAAGAAGAATTAGAACCAATAGGAGGAACCACAAGAAAGAAGAAAGCAACAAAACAAAACAAGAAAAAAAAAGAGCAAAAAGCATGCTTCAATTTACATTCAAACTCCATAGCTCTTTCTCTGGATGTGGGTAGCATTTTCTATCACAAGACTTTTGGGGGGCAGCTAGGTGGCGCAGTGGATAGAGCACCGGCACTGGATTCAGGAGGACCTGAGCTCAAATCTGGACTCAGACACATAACACTTACTAGCTGTGTGACCCTGGGCAAGTCACTTAACCCCATTGCCTAGCAAAAACAAAAAAAAAACCCAAGACTTTTGGAGATATCTTAGATCCTTGCATTGCTGAGAAGAGCTAAGTCAACCAAAATTAATCATTGCATTTCCAAGTTTTTTCATCAAGATATTCCTCAATATGGACTATTGGTGCCTCTTGATTAGGTAGTTAAATGATAATACTCCAGTAACATCTCCCAGTCAACCTTCTGGTCCTAGACCTTTCCAAATTTAACTGGGGCAGGGAACTTCGGAATTGACAACCACACATTCTATTGTTAACTCCATGTGCAAAAAGTTCAGCTAGCTTGGCTGGGCTACAAAATATTGTACTGGATTGGCAGAACCTTCAAAATCCTGGGTTACTCCCACACCATGAAGATGCCCAAGTGAAGAATTTTAGCAAAAGAATGATGATGATGATGACTGCGCTGATAACGATGATTTCTCCTCTTTAGTCTTTGGGTTTTTAAATACTATCCTAGCAAAGCTCAAAAATATCTGATTGGGTCAATTAAGCTCGAAAAGCTTCACAGATAGGATCCACCAGTGCACTGCCCACCTGTTAATCCAAGGACAAGCCTAGAAGAGCTCAGAGACACTCAGCACTAGGTTGACTGCAGAGGGATGAATTTTTTCCCCACAGCAATTTGCAAAGCCATCTACAAATGCGGAGGTAATTACAGATCCTCCACCCTGAGTAACAATAAAACCACCACCACTACCAAAGCAACAGGTGCTGACATGAGCACATACTTATTTCATTAGCCACCTCCTTCAGTCTTTCCTGGGATCTGCTGATGAGGACAATCTTCATTCCCGCTTCGCTAACTGCAAATGAGAGAGAGAATGGAGACAATTCAGTAAGTACCATGGATGCTTTATCAGCCAATGTGACCTTAAAAAATTCTACGTGAAAACAGATTCCTCCTTAGTCATTGTTACTACTCCTTTAATTATATAACTACACAAACTATAGATATTTTGGTTTTAAAATTTTAGGTTGCACTAAGATCTTATTGACAGGACTGGAAAAAATTAAGTAGTTATTATTCTTTCTTACAGATTGCAACTTGGCTCTCCCAAATAAAGTGCTTTTCCATAATCAAACATTTTCAGTGTACCTTGGGTAAGTCACCTTTCCGTCCAGAAGTTGGATGGCCAGCTTTATCAACGGTCCTCTGATTGCGCGTTACATTGATCTCGAGTCCCAAAATTGTTTGTCCTTACAATGTTGTTATTTAACAAACTGTTCTGGTTCCACTCATTCTACTCTGCATCAATTCATACAAGTCTCCCCAGATTTCTCTGAAACTATACCCTTCAACACTTCTCACAGTGTAATAATATTCCATTATTCACATACCATAATTTGTTAGCTGTTGCCCACCTGATACACATATTGTTGGTTTCTAATTCTTTGTTAAAACAAAAAAGAGCAGCTCCAACAAAGAAGTCCTTTTCCTCTTTCTTGGCCCTCTTCGTTATATAGGCCCAGTACTCACTAAGCTATAACAGCAACAAAAAAGTAGGCTTTGGGTTGGAAGTTATGACGTCCTCTTAATTATTTTTTTACACAGTCAAAAAACAGCATCTATTGTTTGGTATGGGCCAGGCAGTGGGCTAAGCATTGGGGACACAAAGAAGGGGGCAAAAAATCAGCCCCTGCCTTAGAGGACAATTCTTTCTAGTGAGTAAAACAACTGGCCATTAACAGGATACAAACAAGACAGACTCAGAACAGATGGAAGGCAATCTGAAAAGCAAATGTGTGGCAGTAAGAGCATCGGAGAGTTTTTTTCTGTTCTTTTGCAACTAGCCTTCCTTTCCAACACCCTGCAAAATAGTATGTCAATACTTTCAAAACTATGCTGGCCAAACATGGCATTTCTGTGTGTGGGCCAGGGGTGTTCCAGCCACTTCCTCTGACTGTCCCTCGAGAGTGGGCTCCCTTTCTAAGCTCGCATGTTGGTGACTTGAGAGTGATTAGAGTCCACCGCTGGCGCTTTCCTTTCAAAGAGCAACAGATTAACTGTTTGCCTTTTAAAAAAAATATTTATTATCTAATTCACAGAACAACTCAATCAGGTTGCCCTATCATATATTATTATCCATATTTTTAATATATAATATTTTATTTTTCCTCAATTACATGTTAAAACCATTTTTTTGGTTTTGAGTTCTAAATTCTGTTCCTAAATAGAATTTCCAAAAATTCTATTACACATGTGCAATCCTGTAAAAGACTTCCATATCAGTCACTTTGTACAAGAAGACTCAAATTTTTAAAAAAGGATGAAAGAAAGGAAAAAATGATATGTTTCAGTCTGTATTCAGACAACATCAGTTCTCTCTCTGGAGGCAGATAGTATGCTTCATCATTAGTCCTTTGGAATTGTCTTAGATCATTGTGTTGCTGAGAACAGATATGTCATTCACAATTCTTCATCGAACAGTGTTGCTGTTACTGTATACGACGTTCTCCTGGTTCTGCTCACTTCACTTGCATCAGTTTGTGTAAGTCTTTTCCAGGTTTTTCTGCTTGTCATTTCTTATAGAACAACAATATTGTATCACAATCATATACCACAGCTTGTTCAGCCACTCTCCAATTGATGAGCATCCTCTCAATTTCCAATTCTTAGCCACCACAAAAAGAGTTGCTATAAATATTTTTGTATTTTTGATGTCTTTGGGAAAGAGACCTAGCAGTGGTATTGCCGGATCAAAGGGTATGCAGAGTTTGATAGCCCTTTGGGCATAGTTCCAAATTGTTCTCCAGAATGGATGGATCAGCTCAAAATTCCACCAACAGTGCATCAATGTTCCAGTTTTCCCATATTCCCTCCAACATTTATCATTTTTCTTTTTTCTCTTCTATTTGCCTTATATTTGCAGTCCCCCAGGCCACTGTCATCTGTCTACTAATAGAATGATGATATGGTTTATCCAAGGTTTGCAAGAAGTCATTCACAGCCTCATTTTCCCCTCCATGACTTTTTACTGTTTTTATGAGGTAATAACGCCCATAAATTGCTACCATCCTTCTCTGAAGTGTTTTTACACATAAATGCATCTTAAATAGGTGCAGCCCATAGGTGCTGTTAAGGAAATTCTCCATTTGTTAAGGAAAACAAGTGCTCGCTTGCTGCCTCAAAGTTGGGTGACGGGCTCTTTGGGCCTCCTTAATATGGGAACTGCTTTACACGGGTAAGATTTCTGCAGAAAACAGCAGTCTTCAGGATCACATTTTTTGCCTTTTGCCGCTCTTCATTTTCCTTAGCATCAACAGTTTGTTTAAACAGACCGGGCTGAGGTTCTAACTGCACCGTGTCATCTCTGCCCCTTTACCAGTTCTAACTGGATTCTAATTTTGCCTTCTTGTTTAAAGGAGGCAATGGTCTGAGTAGCGCAGACATACACAGCTGACTCGATCAACTTCTCTATCAGTAAACACCTCACAGAATCCGCTTCATGCTTTCTCTGTGATTCTGCTGGATGCTCACCATGGCCAGCACATCTGACGTTTTTAGGGAGGGAAACGTCCATGAGATTTTGGGATCGAGCTTCTGAGTAGTCGGTCACAGAAGCCTTTGGGATCTTCAACTGCCTCAAGGTGAGCCATATTGTCTAACACACTTTCTATCCTCTTTCCCATGACCGTGGCCCCTCAGTGAAGGATCTGCTGATGTGGTTTGCAGTTTCCCCAGTACCACCCTCTACACAAGACTCTGGCACACACGCCATGCGCGCATGCTCATCCACCCTGTTGTGTAAGGACAAGATGGTCGTGTGTCCCACACAATGATGTCTTCATTGGTTTGGTCATAAAATGAACTTGGGAATGTGGGTAAAGCTGTCAGCTCTGGAACAAACCAGAACCAAAACCAAACACTTACCAGAAATTGAGGAACCAACGAGGATTTATTGAGTTTGCCACCAAGGGAGCCCCCACCCACATGGGCAGAGAAGGAATAAAAAAAGCTTACAGAGACTTCAATTTAGGCAGGAGGTGAACTGGGTATGGAGTCCCTCAGCATGGGGGTAAGGGGGGGGGCAAAGCTTGCTGCTGGAACTAGTAACAGGAAAGGATCTTCTTCACATCAGTCATCTCTTGTGGCCTCCCGCCCCCCCCCCAATAGATAGGACAGTCTTTGCTTTTTCAGCAGGAAAGGTCTCAGGGTAGGGGTTGCAATACTAACAGGTTTAGGAGCAAGATAAAGGAACAACAAATACAATGGCGTTCCTTTAGCTTTCTCAGCTACCCACAGGAGCCATCCTACCATTTAGCTAACTTCTGGCTCTAGATTCAGAAGATCTGGGTTCAAATCTTACCCTTCATGCTTAAAGTCATCTTGAACAAGTCAGGCTCTTTTCCTACAAAATGAAGGAATTTCACTAGACAGTCTCTGAGATCCTCTCCAGCTCCAGATCTATGATGAGACATTCCAAGGGTCTTCCCATTTATGACAATAATATCAAAAGTGATACAGTGAACCACAGGACACGGCCTTCTGGTAATATGCCAATGTTTTGGTCATCAGACAATAACCTCAGATGTAGAATACCTATAGGAAGTTACTGTTGATAGATATTCTAAAGCCTGTGATTCTTAACATTCTCTGGTCCTGTTTCCACCCCCTGGTTGAGCAGAGATTAAAGGGAATCACACAGTAACAAAGAAGGCCATTTTTTATTTGTTCTCATTCTTCTCATTCTATGGGCTCTGATGATTGATGAATTCATTACCTGATGGTCAAATTATGATGAAACTTTCCATGCTTAAGTGAGGCTGGTTCTTGGATGCAATTTCAGCCTGGCCCCAAAGCCATACCTGAAAGTTTTTCTAGCTTCACAGAAAATGACAGGGGCAGGTAGGTGGTGAAGTGGAAAGAGCACGGCCCTGGACTCAGAAGGACCTGAGTTCAAATCCGGCCTCAGACACAAAACAAATCACTAGCTGTGTGACCCTGGGCAAATCACTTAACCCCACTGGCTAGCCAAAAAAAAAAAAATGACAGAACTTATCCTGTGCTGTCAAAGCTTCGAAGGGCCCAGAAATGCCTCCATGATACAATAAGGAATCAAAGTAGCATTTTGTGGAGATGTAAAATGGGAAGACACATACTGGTAAGGTATTTGCCCTTGCCATAGAGTGTGTCCAGGGAAGAGTCCGTGTAGAAAAAGTATTTCCTATAGATGAAGAGGTCCTCCAGATGTTCTGATATACGGATGACTTTATGCTGACTGTGTTAAGCCCCAGAATACTACAGAGCCTGCCTGAGAAGACTGTAATTCCTCCAAAGAATTTGGCCCAACAAAAAACAGAATGAAGAATGTCGATTGCTCAAGTTGGGATACACACTTAGATGGTCACCCCCACTGACTTGATTTATCAGTCTACATACCCTGGGCAGACACTGCAGATGGACAATAAGAATGGGCTGTAGTGATTCTGGGAAACTCACTTTTTCAACACCAACATTCTTCTAGTGATGCTATCCATGGACACATACATAACCTCCAAGTAATACAAACTGCCACTGAGGCAAAAGTCAATGGGAAGACATATGGGGGGCATAAATAGGCTGCTGCTTATTGCCACAGGTGACTGGCGCACAAGAAGTGGCACAAACCATGGCAAGGTGGAAATTTAGGACCAGAGAAGGGGAGGGGTCAGCCAAGGGTAGAATCTCTATGAAAAGGAATCCTGGAAGTATGAACTGATGAAGAGGGAAGTGCAGGAAGCCAGAGAACAATGTATAGAAGGATAACAAGAGTGTAAAGAAAAACAACTTTAAAACACTTAAGCATTCTGAGCACAGCCAGGACCGACCACAGCTGCCAAAGACGGTTGATTAAGCATGTGACTTACCTCGTAACAGAGAGGTGACAGAGTCAAGATGCAGAAAGAGGCATAAGTTTTTCAACATGGGCCTATGTGGGTTTCTTTTGTTTGACTATGTTTATTTGTTAAAAAGGGTGCTATTTCCTCTATTTCAAATGGTGGGGAGAGAGGGAGGAAAATCAGTGGCAATGTAAAAAAAGAAAAAGAGGGCCACTAAAACATTTTTTAAATGCACAATAAAGAAGAGAAGGAAGTTCAGAAGGAAGCACAAAGGAGGACAGCTTTAAAAGTGACACATGGAATTTTTAATGTATTTTTTTTAAAAAGCAAGCAATATAAAATAGAGACCCATTGTTTCACATGCAATCCTCTGTTTCATGTTCTATGTAATGGGAAATTGGGGCAGGAGAGGCAGGCATTTATGCCCCAGATTAAAAAATTAAATTAATAAAAAATTAATTTTTAAAAACTAAATTAATAAAATGAAGGCTTACCTCTTCTGCATATGATTTTCCAATTCCATCAGTACTCCCTGTGACAACTAAAAAGAGAAAAAAAGAAAAAGAAAAAGTTTAATGTCTAACTCACAGAAATAGTACTGAAAAAAGTTAAATAGGTTCTACTTCCATTACACAAAATCCTATTCCTTCTATAAACTAAAATCTTCTAGCCACTCAGGAAGAAATGTCATAAGAATAGGCCTCGAGCTTAGCGCAGTGGTCTATCCAGCCTAGTATTTTGCCTCTACACCAAGTAGCACCAAGATTTCCAACTTTAAAATGTTAAGGATGTATTCCCAAACTTCTTGTTTAAAACTATGATCTAACTCACACCCCCTCAAACTGACCAAGATGAGAAAAAATAAACGTCATTGTTGGAGTGGTCATAGGGAGAGAGGCACACTAGTACATTGCTGGCAGACCTGACAACTAGGCCAACCATTCTGGAAGCAATTTGGAATTATATAAGAAAAGTCATTAAACTGTCCATAGCCTCAGACTCAGTGATCCCATTATTGGGCACATATAACCCAAGGAAGTCAAAGACAGGAAGAAAGGTCTTGTTTATATGAATACATTCACATTGGAATTCTTGTGATAGAAGAAAAGTGGAAACAAAGTGAATGCCCATCAACTGGGGGAATGGCTGGGGGAAAAAAAGAGTTAAATGAATGTAATGTAATTCAGAGAAATATAAAAAGACTTCTGCTGTTCAATAGTTTCAGTCACGTCCAACTCTTAGTGACTCTGTTTGGGGTTTTCTTGGCAAAGATGTTGGAATGGTTTGCCATTTTCTTCTCCAGCTCATTTTACAAATAAGGAACTGAAGCAAACAGGGTTAGATGACTTTCCCAAGGTCACAAAGGTAGTAAGTGTCCAGGGCAAGATTTGAACTTAGGAAGATGAATCTTCCTGACTCTAGACCTGGCATTCTATCAACTGCGCTACCTAGCTGCCTCAGGAACTAATACAGATCAAAGAAAACGTTATCAGGAGAATAACATGTATAATACTTACAAAAATATAAATTAAAACTCCAGAGAATAGCTAACATACTTCCTTAGAGAGACAGGGGGAAACTATGGATGTGAATCATTGCATACACTGTCAGATGCAATCACTTATCAATTCATTTAGTTTCAGTTATTTCTTTTTTACTACCAATCAATACATCAACAAGCATTTATCAAATGTTTATTATGTGCCGGGCACTGTGCTAAGCAATGTGATTGCCAAAAAAGCAAAAACAATCCTTGTCCTCATGGAGTATATAGTCTAATAGAGTATACAATATGTACACATTTCAGTAGAAAGACGATAAACACAAGATATCTACAAGGGCATTTTAATTCTGTGGGAGACATTTTTTGGGAAATGGCCAGAAGTAGAAAATTTCCTTAAAATTATCATGCACATACAGAGAACTGTTCTTAACTGTATTTATTCTCTAGAAGTTTATCTGCCCCTGTGCAAAGCAATACTTGCTTCAGTTTCTCATCAAACTGCCTCCTAAAGTTTCAGGGGTATCCTGGCCCAGGATTCTAAGATATGATAAACAATACTCCATCTCAATCACCCACATTTTAAATAAACTTTAATCCCATTTCCTCTCCATCTTCATTCATCTGGATAATGGAAGCCATCCTTTCACATATTACTAGGCCTGCAGTCAGGAAGACACCTTTTCCTAAGTTAAAGTCTAGCCTCAGACACTTCCTAGCTGTGTGACCCTGGGCAAGTCACTTAACCCTGTTTGCCTCAGTTTCCTCATCTGGAAAACAAGCTGGAGAAGGAATGGCAAACCACTCCAGTATCTTTGCCAAGAAAAATCCAAAAAGGGGTCAGGAAGCCTCAGACATAACTGAAAAATGACTCAACAACAAAGCTTCATTGGGGAGTCCTTACATCCCCTCAGATGGCTTCCTCTCTAGCTCCAACTAGGTCTATTACGAGGTTGTACAAAAAAAAAAGAACAACACCCTAAAAATAGTTTCCCAGGATCTATGTTCTCTTTCCCTAATTTCATAAAATCTATCTGCTTATATGGAAGTTTCTCTATTCTTCTGATCAAGAAACGATTACTTTTTTCCAAACCTTGTTAAAGCTGTCTTTTTTAAAGTAGGCTGAACAGAATGAGACAGCACTCATGGCCTGGCAGCGCACAGTTACCCATACCAGTAGAATAAAAATTTTCTATTTGGTTTCTAAAACTCTTCTCGATGATGCTCATTGGCTTTTGTGACCAAGACAATACACTGACCTGCACTGGGCTCTATTCTGGATAAACTGATAGCTCAGAAATGATCATCCTATAAATTAAGCTTAGATTACTTTTCCTCAGGTATGTATTCTATACACTTGCCTGTACTGAAGCTTACCTGCCATGTATCTGCCTATTCACATTTTTTCTCTTACATTGTAATGATAATAGCTCATGATCAGAAAGCACATTAAGGTTTATAAGTGTGGGTACATTGTCTCACTGGACACTCATAACATTCCTGTGAAGTACATAATCACCATTATCCTCACACAGGTGAGGAAACTGAGGTTGAGAATGGCCAAGCTCAAGGTTGCAAAGTGAGTGGGAAGGCTGCAGTCTGAATACAGGTCTTATGACACCAAGTCCAGAGCTCTTACGAGCACCACTTCTCATGATGCTATAGCCAAAAGTCACTCTAAGAATATACAGTCTTTGACCAAAACTCTAGATTTAAGTACTATTAGTCACAAATGAGATGGCAGGACTGTTAATAGGTCTAGGCTTCCCAATTCTAGATTATGGTATTTAAATGTATAAGTGCAGTGAACACACAAGTTACTTTATTTATGGAATTTTTAAACCTAATTATCTTTAAAGAACACTGTATTCCTTTTATACATTTAAAACTGCCTATTTCACATGGTTCTAAGCCAGTTTTCTTGTCCTTGATCCTGAAAAGAGCCTTGATATCTCCAGACTAGATAAGATCCAGAAGTAGTAAAATGCCCCTAGTGGGCAGAGGTGGCTTTCAAGATATTTATATGCTCCAACAAATTGTGTAAAACCTCTAGAATCACATTAAGAATAGGGATCAAGCATATAATAATATCAAACTTGCTAAGTTAAAAGCAAAACACTAAACAAATTATTCAAAAAGGCCCCCAGAGAACAAATTTCCCTATTCTTCTGTTGCCCATCTATTTCAAGTCAAACAAATTTATTTTTTGTGTACCTACTATGGGTTTGGCATTATGGGGAATACACTGTAGTCTAATACACAATATGGTGTCAGCATATGCACTAAAACCCTGGGGATACATTGTCATATTCAGCACATACTGTGTTGTTTGCAGTCAATAAATGTTAGAGAAATAATTTGATTTTTTTTTACCACCTATAAATTTCACTCCAGATATTTTCTAGGACCCAAACAAAAAAAGTCACTTTTCCAAATTCTGCTACTTGTGCACCTCAAAACTAAAGCTAATGTCACTTAAATCCTACTTCACCAGGTTAAAGAATGTTAGAATTTCCAAGTTGGAAGGGACTTCCAAGGCCCTCTCATCCAACCTGTAAGTGAATGAACATCTGCTTGCTAATACCCCAGAAAAGTAAGCATCCCTTAGTTCAAACATTAGGAACTTTTTCCTTATATCAAGTATAAATTTGCCTCTACGCAACTTCTACACAATGGTTCTCACTTCTACCCTCTGGAGCCATGCAGAACAAGTCAGATGAATAAATTTTCAGAAAAATCTTACGGGCATAAAAAGTTTATTAACGGGAGTACAATCACAAAAATAACGTCTGAAATACAACTGCCTCTTCCAGTTGTAGCCTTCCAGTCTAGCCCTTGCAATGACATGGAGTAAAAATGGCTACTGGGGATCATGGATCGTCACTTTCCTATCACTGAGGATATGGGAACCAGCTACTTTACTGTCATGTGATGCTGGCCTTTCTCTGATATCATCAAGTTAATTACTAAACTGGAGCTTCCGCCAACCATGAAATCAGACATCTCAATGAGCACAAATAAGTCACTTTATTTGCTTTAAACAGAGGGTGATGGCATCTGTCAATAAATAACATTCACTGCAGATCGAAGCATACTATTTGCTATTTTTTTCTTCTGTTGTGTTTTGTTTCCTCTTTCTGGTGGTTCCTCCTATGAGTTCTAATTCTTACTTACAACATCATTATGTGAAAATATGTTTAATAGAAATGTATATGTATAGCCTATATCAGATTGCATGCCATTTTGGGGAGGGAGAAGGAAAGGGAGAGAGAAAAAAATGTAAAACTCAAAAGCTTATGGAAATGATTGCTGATAAATCAAAATAAATTTTTAAAAAAACCAGATAGCAAAGCTCAAATTCCATCATTGTATGACCTAGGGAGAGTCATTTCTACTCTCTGTGCATACGAGATGATTTCTAATGTACCTTCCAGTTCCACAGATCCTGTGATCTGTCATCCACCCCCTAGCACTACAGCGTCTAAGGACACAAAACTATGCTGTTTGGAAACGGAGACACTATTTACTTGAAGTTTACCTTGTAAATTGTTTACGAGGTCAAATTTCCTTGTAGAGGAAAGACCACTGGATCAGAAATTGAGGGGAAGGGTTTGAATTCCAGCTCTTCTACATACTACTATACATACATACATACATACATACGTACATACATACTACCTGTGTGATCCTGAAAAAGTCATTTAACTTCTTGAGATATGTATAATTTCTAGGGTCTCTTCAAGCTCTAAATTCTATAATCACTGCCCCTTGTGAATTATACCTAAGTTCAAATAACCAAAACTTAGTAGGACAACATCACAAATTCTGTAGTTAATACTCAATAGCCGTTAGCCTCTATAACTACTATTTCTATGAATGCTATAACCTTGACACCCAAGTATCTAATTTCACTTAGTTCTATCAAAAATTGAAGAAGACATGCCAGCACTAATTTATTGCCGCTTACCAGCTGTTACTTTGCTTCAAAATGGCAGAACACTCCCTTGTAGTAAAATAGAGATAATTAGCTCATCCATTGA